TTCTTCACAGAAGTGAACCAAATACTTTGATATAGACCTACTGTGTGCATTTTTAAAAGCTTTAAAGCCATATCTTCTTCCTAACTTCTGACTGCATGACTCAATCACATGTCAAATAAACAGGAAGTGTCGTAAACTCAGTGTTTTGTAAGTGTTTGTGTGTTCAGACCTGGTTCAGGTATTTCCCAGCGAAGAACGTCTGGTACTTCAGTTTGTTGAGGTAGACGGGGAAGGCCTCGGCCTCGGGCCCTTTCTGCCACTGAAGGCTGGAGCAGTTCCCGGACAGCGAGTTGTTCCTCACCTCGTGGTTGTGCGGGTACTGGCCCGTCAGTACGCTGCTCCGGCTGGGGCAGCACAGCGGCGTGACGGTGAACTGCACAGGAGAGAAGCGAGAGCGGCGATAGAGGAAGGCGAGTGGGGAGAGGAAAAAAGGTGACGAAAGAGAAGCACATGGCGGCGGAGGAGAGGAGGATGTGTTCAGTTTCAACATTTAAAACAATGTGAAATTACGCTCACTTAAAAATAACAGGAGTATTATTAGCTAAATGTAATGAAAGTATTAAAAATAAAAGCACTTGTTAGTCCATAAGAGTCACCAGATAAAGCTGAGGGGTCCTGAGATGATTCATGGGAACAAATCTGTGTTTGTTGTGTTAATTCTCCTTCATTTTCTGTGAAATGTTGGATATATTTTACTTCTTTGGGCCTCAAAAAGTTCATTACAAGGAACCATGTGAGAACTTTAAAGGGGAAATTCCTGTGCTGCCAGCTCAGAGACATTTGACACATGACAAGCAGCCTGACAAGACAAAGAGGTTGGCAGTCGCTGGTTTAATCTTTAACTGTGTTCTATATACTTGTGTTTTTAAGGTAAAATCTTACATTTTAAATCAGAATCAGGGTTTATTGCCAAGAAGGTTTTCACATACAAGGACTTTGCCTTGTTAAGTTGGTGCATAACAAAGATAAACAGACAGAAGTAGAGACTGTAAGTAAAAAATAGACACAATTATTTCCAATGTGCAAAGATAAAATTGAAGGGGAGTGCATTGTGAAAGGAGTCTGATAGCTGATGATTATTAAAAAGTACAACATTTCCCTCTGTAATGTAGTGGAGTAGCAGTATAAATAGTGTATGTATGTACTGTCCAGCACTCGGTAAATGAACTCACTGCATTCACAAACGTTGCTCCTGCGTCTCCGATTAAAGCTTTAGTTTTCTTCATCGGGGTCTGCAGAACAAAGAGACACATGCAAAGTGACACAACATGCAAATGAGCCCAGAGAGACACTTCCTGTTTGTTTGTGAATGAACAGCTCTATAAATAATACACTGAGTGGGTCTAAGGGCACTAATGCAGATATTATCCACCTCTAGAGACCTGTTTCCTTCTCAGACCTGCTCCTGATGATGGTGATTAAACTTTAATTAAAGGAACGTAATAAGTTTTCATATCAGCTAATACTTGTTTATTTCGAGTTATTCTTAATAAATCCATTGTTTAATCAAATGTTAGTGTGGCCCTTTGTTTGTTATTGCCTGAACAAGCCGGGACAATTGACCCTTTCTAAGCCCCGCCTCCTTTTGCTCTACGCTCGTTTTACGGTCACTAGAAGCACATTCGGGGCCTAAGCCAGTGGCTCCGAGAGGCTAACTTTTGGTTAACGGCTACGTAGCAGGCCTCAGTCTGCAGAGTGGACACGTTGGTTTTATAGAAGGAAAGAAAGCTGCCACCAGATCAGCTAATAGCTACATTAAATTGCAATATCCAGGTTTCAACCAGTAGATCGCTGCATTTTTATAGTAAAATAAGGAGAATTTAAACACTAAAACGCTCTAAAATGTCCCGATTAGGACCAACAACACTACTAAATACCCACATTCAGAGGGTTTGGGGTTTAGTTACTCTTAAAGGAACACCTCATTTAAAATGTTTACTTATATAGCTGTCACTCATCTGTGAATCTATTGATTCTTCTGTGACTAAAAATTTTATAATGATCCCTGATATCAAGCAGCAGAAGTGACGTTGCCGCTGTTTACATAAAACTCTATTTTCATTATATCTCAATATTTAATGTGTATTTTCCTGTCTTGCTGTGTTGTATCTGGAGCTGCTGTAGAGAGGGAATTTCCCCAGTTTGGGATCAATAAAGTGTATCTGATCTGATCCGATCTGATCCAGGTAGCACTACAGCAGTGAGTTACAGTATAAAGACAGAGAGCAGCTTGTTGCACAAACACTGTTCAAACATATCAAATATTCAATATATATCTAAGAGACTTTCTGGAGTCACAAACACTTCCTTTATTTCCAGCTGACAGCCTGAGAGGGCAGCAGATTGCACAACCACCGTTTAAAGCTTCTGTACCAACACCAATATGGATAATAATGTGATAAAAACACCAAAAAGTGACTCTGAACTGACTCCAGCGACACTATAAAGCCTCAGAGGAGAGACTTTACAGGGAGGAACACACCAGAAGCCTTTATAAACGCTCTTCTGGATCAATACATGTGATTGTTTCCAGGCGGGGTGCACTCACCATCCCCCCCAGCTGAACGTCCTGGTCGTCGGCCAGGATGAGGATGATGTTGCTCGGCTTTACGCGCGGTTCCGCACACCTGACGCAGCAGGTGAGCAGCGTGAGGAGAGCGAGGGCTGCTGGGAGTCCCCTCTGTCGGGTCCCTGTCGCTCCGGATCCGATCCTCAGACCTGCCATCTGGGCCTCCACAGCAGCAGCAGCAGCAGCA